TGAAGTTACAAATAAATGAATGTATATATATATGATGGAAGGGATATTGCTTGACTTTTGAAATTTGCCAATTGAAATTGCCCATCTGCATGATAAATTGTAATGTTTTCTTTTGTAGTAAACACACTTGATCAGTAATGTCCCATTCAAACAATCAAAACTAATACTCTGAAGTATCTTATATCAGCAGTACAAGATTCAAAATGTCGTTGATCTCAAGAATATTGAAACACAGGATTGTAAGATCCACCGTCTCTTTATTAGTTTCTCAAAATATAATTATGTACATTTCAGCTTGTAAATATGTTAGATTCTTTAATGTTTTGTCGAGATTGTCTCAACTATTTAGCTTTAGGACCATTTAATTCCATTTGTAAGCCTAGACACTGGCACGCAATCGTTATTTCATTGACTAAAAATGTCATTTAATTATTTTGTAAATTTCTAAATATTATAAATGCGAAAGTAACTCTGTCTGTCTGTCGGTCTCGCATTCACGCCAATACTACTGAACTGATTTCAATGAAATTTGGGACACAGATATAAATAAATTTGTCATTTAAAGTTTGTAAAAATGTCACCCATAAGGGTGTAATTAAAAATATAGTAATAGCTGCAGTTAGTGTATGTGACAGTTATAAGAAAGGCCATTTCGTATGTAGGTAGGTTGCCAGGGATTTCACGCTACTATGTGGCATTAATACATGGGGTATGGAAATCATATTATGATTTCCATACCATTTTTATTTTATGCCATAACGATTTATCCGGTGTGCGATATCATCATACACATCTTTACATATATAATTCTTATTCTATATTGAAAGTTGAACTTAAAAAGTTTACCTAAGTTATCAAACTATCCCTACTTTTATTAATATTATATATGTGAATGTCAGTTTGTTTGTTACGCTTTCACGTCAAAAAAATCAACTGATTATCATAAAACTTTGTACACATATTCTTAGGGGTATTAAAAAGGGCATAGGATTCTTTTTATTAAAAAAAAATATATTTTTAAAGAAAGATATTTATTTAACGGCTTCAACGCGAGTGAAGCCGCGGGCGAATAGCTAGTTGTATATGTTAACATTGTTTCATCATACTCCATGTTCCCAAAGATAATTCCCGAGAAATCGTATAATTAATTAAAACCTTCTTCGTTAGGATACAGATAGAAAACTTTTCCAATTAAAGCGGGAGCTTTTGGAATTTTTCAAATTTCGAATGTTGGGAAACAAACGGCGATTCATCATCGGCCAGCACAGGGGGCGCCTAACCGAGCTGAACAGCAACACCTGCGCTGCCCACAATGCCAGCCGATAATCAATCATGCGCCATAAGGCAGAATGTTGAGAAAGAAATAATAACGCGGGATCACTCTCGACTTTGGGGCCATTAAATCTGCGATAGATTTGGTCTTATACTTCACTAGCGACCTGCCCCGGCTTCGCACGGGTGCAATGTATTAAACATATAAAATCTAGTAAATAAAAAACGCATCAAGATCCGTTGTGTAGTTTTAAAGATCTAATCGTACATTGGGACAGACAGACAGCGGGATGACTTTGTTTTATATTATGTAGTGATCTCATTAACTGCCTTGTCGTTGAATATTCCCTAATTCATCGTAATTTTCGATGTAGTTAAAACATGTAGTACGAAAAGATTGTCGCCGCTGTGGGAATGGAACCCTCGTCTTCGGCATTCGCGGACTGACGTTCTAGCCACTGAGCTAAACGGCTGATAGTCACAGCGACGAAAATCTTAACGCCTTCTTTCTATATTGTTATTTAGCATTTGAAGCAATGCTTGGCGCATCTATTGTTATATCCTTTCCAGCATACAAACAATTTCGAATATCGTTTTACAACGATAATTCGAACGAGAGATGTCGCCATTGCTTTTTATAAATTTTTAAAGTTTTTTATAGTGCTAATCTCTGTACTAAAGATTGAACATTAAAACATGTAGAAAAGTTGTAGTTTCATCATGTAGTTGTTCATTCATGATTAGACAAAGTTAAATATCTGGACTGACGTCGAGTCCTGCTCTGAACGCTGTCCAAAATGCGATGAATCAAAAACTTTAACAGTGACATGATAAGAAGAGAATGGCGTTGATCGGATAATTGTCACCGTGTCTTGATTATTATCTATAGAAAAATTTAAGGGTTGGAAGGTGTAAACTTATAGAAGGTCGAGTATCATTTGTTTTAGTTTCTCGAACTCGGGACTCGGGTAATTTCCTTTTGTCTAAGCTATTAGTATTAAAAAGTGAAAGCTTAAATAATTTTTGCGATTGAGGTTACTGTTAATTAAGGTCATAAAAATATTTCTTGATATTACGTAAAATAATTTCATTTCCGAATACATTTATAGAGCTCCATCGGAAGGAGAGACGACAGCCATCTGTATGGAGTTGTTCTGTTTCTACTACGGAAAGAACGGTTGAGAAGCGTCTCAACCGTTCTTTCCGTAGTAGAAACAGAACAGGTTATTTCGCTAAATAACCGCGCGTTTCTTGGCCCGACTCTTGCACGGGGACGGTGAATGGAGGCCGCAAGTCATCGCCAGCGCGCCCCGATACGCGTTGACCCAAATACGTCCGTGCTCTCGTTCATCGCCAACAAACGAGCTGGACAACTTCCCATGGAGGAGTCACGACTCGATCGTCCACAGTCTCGTCATCATTTCTCTGCTTTCTAGACCATATTCCACGTTTAAGAGTGTTTAAACCAGTAACGCCCAGTTCCTGAGACACTAATCATCGTAGAAGTGAACTAATCAGCTGTAATAGTCACAGAATTTAATCTGTCTAAAATTACATATAATCTAATGAACCTAATCCACGCGGCATGGTGCCAAGAACGCTAGCTGCATTTCCTCGCTGAATAGTTATGCTTAACCTTTGAGCGAGAAAAGAACCAGCTCTCTTGTCACCGGCCGCGGCGTTAAGCCTAGGACATAAACTTTTAAAAAATTTCGATGTGCGTGAACCCCACGGATCTAAAGTTTCAACAGCAAATGGCACTATTAGCTGTCAAATGGATTTTCAAATTTTATTTGAGTTGCCAAAAGGATTTTAAAACTCTCTGAATTGATCAGAATTATCTTCTTAATGATCAGAATGATCAATTCAAAGAGTTTGAAAATCCTTTTGGCAACTCAAATAAAATTTGAAAATCCATTAGACAGCTGATTAGCTGACTTCAACGATAACCGGTGTTTCAGAAACCGGGCGTAAGAGTTTATAAATTGATTTAAATGAGCCATGACGACCCGAATGGCGTAGTGGGTAGTGTACCTGCCTCCTGCGCCAGAGGGTGTGGGTTCGATCCCCACTACTGGAAAAATATTGTGTGATGAACATGGTGTTTTTCTAGTGTCTGGGTGTTTCTATATGTATAATATGTATTTATTTACAAAAGAAAAGTATGTTTAAGTATGTTTATCAGTTTCCTAGTACCCATAGTACAAGCTTTGCTTAGTTTGGGACTAGAAAATGTTGTGTACGAATGTGTCCCAAATATTTATTTATTTATTATTATTTTATTTGATAGGATTTTATTGTATTTTTAAAAGGAAACATACTATCAATTATAAATTGCATTGTATTTTAAAAAGCAAATATTAGACTATCAATTACTATTGTTTTTTTTTAAACAGTTCGCTGTTGCACGAATGTGCAGGTCCGTCCAGGGAAGTACCACGACACACTTCTGCGTTTCGTCTGGTGAGTGGGGGGCCCAAATTTGTTAAATGGTGGCAACTCAATTGCAACCCTACGGGTGTTTTTAAATGGCTATGGGCGGCGCTTATCATTTAACATCAGTTGAACCACCAGCTCGTTTGCCATCTTATCAAATTAGGAAAAAAAACCATCTGTAATTGTAAACTCACAGTAAGATATATTTTATTAAATAAAAATAGTGAGACGAAATAGGACCAATTTACTACTAACTCATAGATTTCAAAAGAAATGATAGACGCAGGTAACGAGTCATTGCTTTATTACTATACAAATACTTATATCTTAACTTATGGTAAAAAAGCTAAATAAATTATGTACATTGTGGTAGTAACAAGCTATTGAAAATGTAATAAATAAAGACAATATACTGTACATCTTCAGTCAACTTTCATTTCGAAGAATTGGGGGACAGAAGCGTTTTATTTATTCAAGTGAACACTTAGATTAAACATGTAAGATAAATTTTAAACGAATTTCTGATATTGTATAAAGATAATTGCTTAGTATAAATGGTAACTTGAAGATTGTTTTAGAATTTTAGACGCTCTCCATCTATTTGGAAGCTATAAACATCCCTCTGAAGTTTATAGATAGTTCTACAAAATAACAAACTCGATTAATGTGAAGAGCCATTAGGTATTAGGGAGTAATTGAGAGCAAACTAAACAACAATAGTTCATCAATCCATCTTTAGATAATCTATCGTCATTATTTTCGTCTAATATTAACTATGTACTGGTTGGAGAAAGAATTAAGATAGTAAAATAGAACGAACATAGGTTGTATCGACAATGCTAAAAGACTGATTTCTTGTTTTAACGCGAACGTTATCCATGGTGAAAACATAGGTCGCATTGAAAATGCTAAAAAACCTATTTATTGATTTTACGCGAATATAATACACGGTTAAATGAAATGTTTGTTCATGTAAGTTTGTTCTGTGACTATGAAAACTTAAATGGGTTCAATACCTGGCGAATTTAAAATAAAATGTGACAAGATCCGCAAAAGAAGTTTCATTTAACCGTGCTACTAAACTTTAGTTTAGATCTCGACGACATACAAAAAATTATAGAAATATAACTGGTATTTTTATAATTGCTTATAAATTTTAGCCTTTTGCTGTGTTTGTGTCAGTTCAGCATTCTTCTCTATGAAAACCTTTCTCCGTCAGTGATGTTTATTTTCATTTGAAAGATAAATACTTATTGATTCGACTTATGAAGCTGTCCGAGAGGATGGGCTTTGCTGCCCTATCCCTTAAGCTGGCTATCGTCGATACGAGATAGCTTCTCGGCGTTGAAGCCACGAAACTGTCTAGAGGGTTGTCTGATTGAGTGTTGCCGGCACCTCTTCCCTCTCTCTCCGCGTCATGGTAGTTGTAAAAATTTGGTCTAACATCTGGCAAAGCGTTATTGGCACCACCGTCGAGACGGACGCCATCAGTGGAGTCAGGATGGTTATAGAAATTAGGCGTAACGTTAGGCAACGCTTTGGAGAGAACATCCCCAAGTTCGATATAACTCGGCCGAGGCGTAGTGCTGCTGCAATCCAGTCCACTTCCCGTTTTGTCCGAGAACAGCTCTGAGAATTTGCTCCGGTACGGCGTTCTGCTACCGTCGTATTCTACTGAGTAGTCGTGGTATTCTTTGGATGGTACGTTGGAGTATTCTTTGCTGTACTCCTGCTTGGGCTGTTTCGTGTTATATTGATTGAAAACGTTTTGCTCGTACCCCCGATTGAGGGAATTGCGGTCAGGGCTGTACCTTTGATTGATTGAGCTCTGCTCAGGGCTGTGCCTCGAACTGTCCGAGCCGTAGTCGACGCTGTTGACGCTGTCTACGTCGTAGCGCACGTCCGCCTTGTAGCCGTTCTCGTCGGCGGTGTAAGAGACGATCTGGGTCCGGCCGTCGGGCAGTCGCACCCTGTACTCGCCGTTCGTAGCGGAGCCGCTGCTACGCTGCGAGTGAGAGAAGTCGTCTCCCGTCTTCTGGTCCCTCACCGTGTACGAGAAGGCGTAGCCCTTGTCCTAGAACAGTTACGCCAACTTGTAAATAATCCACAGAAGGGAGAACGGTTTCTTCACATTCCGAGGTTCATGAAGCGTTCAGTTACGAGCTATAAGTTTACTGGACCAGCGTTGTGCACCGAGGTATAGCCCTCATCTCTCCGTAAGGGTAACGGAACACTTAGTACAGGCTGACTGGTATTCGAACCTACTATGGTTTGAAATACTTAACTTTATGGGGAAGTACCACGGCCTCACAGAAGAACCGTGTGAAATGGAAGTGAATATTATACTTTCGCGTTTTGTCTTAAGATTGAAGTAACCAGCGCCCACTTTTTTAAAAGTTGTCAAAGCATTTGCAAACTCTAAGGTTTTGTAGATGTCGATGGCCGGCAGTCTTCATTTAACATCATATGAACCACCTGCTCGTTTGACAATATTTTAAATAAAAAAAATAGTCAACTACTATTTCAAAATACCTTCAAAGAAGACTTGTTTTTAATATTAAATGAAACTAGTTTACGGATACCTTTCCAGCGTTCATGGTCACGGGATCGATGTCTGTCCCATGACCATGAACGCCGGAAAGGGTTCGAAACGTCGGGAGTTCAAATCAAAATAAAAAACGCGATAAAATCCGTAAACTAGTTTCATTTAATATGTATAATATTCGCGTAAAATCAAGAAAACAAGACTTGTTTTATTTAAATTACCTCAAGATTTTCAGAGTTATTTCCTCCATCAGAGACATCATTGTTGTCGTAATGATGTATTTCTTTCTTCGGCTGAAAACCACGAGATATTTGAGATCAACTCATTGTCGGTCGCTTTATTTTTACTTGCTAATAGCTGTTATAGAATGTCTAGTAAAAAAGTAAGGTAAAGTAACAACCTATAAATGTTCCGCTGCTGGGCAAAGGCCTTCTCTGTAAAGAGGGTATCAGGGCATTGTCCACCACGCGACCTCACTGCGGATTGGCTGACTTCACATATTTTCGAAATATTTTTTTCATTATTATTTCGTATATCTGCAGGTTTCCTCTCGATGTTTTCCTTCACCGCCGAGCACATGGTAACTCAGCACTTAAAATTAACAATGTCATTGGTGCTGGCTCTGCGGGTCGAACTCAGGGTGCTCGAGTAAATGAAATTAAAGGCGAGCGCCTGGACACCGATCTATCGCTGCGAGTGTCTAGTAAGAGGAAATTAATTCAATCTAATAATTTTTTTTGTATGTTTATAATGTTCGTAACGAAGACATCCGCAGTAGAACCAAGGTAACCGACATAGCTCAGAGGATTAGCAAGCTGAAGTGGCGATGGGCCGGCCATATAGCTCGTAGAACCGATAACCGTTGGGGAAGAAAGGTTCTCGAGTGGCAGCCTCGTACTGGCCATCGCAGTGTAGGACGACCCCCCCACTAGATGGAGTGACGACCTGTGCAAATGTGCGGGAAGTCGATGGATGCAGGTGGCTCAGGATCGTACTTCATGGCAGTCTGTGGGGGAGGCCTATGTTCAGCAGTGGACTCAAACAGGCTGAAATGATGATGATGATGATGAATGTAAAATGAAATATTTGTACACCAGAAATGGTAGAACACAAAGGATCCACAGCTTTTAAGACCTATATTGTACTATGTTCTAACAAATAAACGTATCTTTCTTTCTTTCTTTCAGGGCTTAGTCACCCTGTGCCGCACTGAATAAGGGAAGTCTGATGCGTATTTTAAGATAATAAAAATATCGATAGCTTTAATTAAGTTTTAATATAATGAAAAAAAAAAAAAAAAAAGAATTAATGTTTTTCAATAAAACATAGGTAGCAATTTAAAAAAAAATCGTATCCAGGTTTCGAAAATCAAAAACTTTAGAGTTATTTATCACAGAGATAGCTAACGCTATCAACTTTTGACCAAGATTACTTAGAGACATTGAGATTCACTGCCGCGATCTTACAGTTTTAACACCGATAGCCTCACTACTCAGAATTCACTACATGAATTTATTCAATTCCTGAATTTGTTCAACTCAACTCGAAATTGATCGACGTCGGAATTTATTTACTCGCTCCCAGTGAACTGCAAAGTTTTCAATGTTTACTATTGTATTAGTTTTTATTTTGACCTTTATGAAGAGCGATTGCTCTACTATTCTTTAAATGACAGTGATAAATCACTGTCAGCTGACTTATTTCCCACTTTGATGATTTGATTGAGATTTGTTTTGATGTATGAACCCTGTATGTTATACTTTTTAAATAAAATTTAACATAGACAGAAAATCAGTTTAGGAAGCTTTGTCGTTTAAATAAATACTTGCTCTGGTGTAATGGAAGCGACAACTAAGAATCGAAGCCTATGCCTCACTTACTGCTACAAACCAAGAACTTATAAAAAGTATTGTTTTTACCTGATAATCGTAGCGAGGATTATTCCGCTGAGCGCTTACCAGGTTTCTCTCCGCGTGATCGGAGAGTGCATTGTAAATTGGCGGAAGAGAAGTGGATTGCTGTAAATGTAAAGTAATATTTAATTTTAAAGGTATATATCATTTCAATGATTAATATAAAACTAGCGATCCGCTCCGGCTCCCTTCCTCTTGAATCACTCTATCTAGTAAAAAAACATAAGATCCGTTACGATCCGTTGCGTAGTTTCAACGATCTAAGCATACATAGCCCCTTATGACACTACAGACAGCGGGACGACTTTGTTTTATACTATGTAGTAAAATAACAGCCTATACAACTCTCTATACAAATCTCACAGCTGGCCAAAGCCGTCCACCACGAGACTCCGCGAATTGGCAGACTTCTAACAGTTTTTATCATCATTTAGAAAATATGCATCTTACGCAATGTTTTGAACTTAAAATGGCGATAGCAAAATTTTAATTTTGCACCAGGGGTTGAACTCAGGTTAGAAGCAATTGTTCAAACAATGAGCTATTACAACTTGAACTTTGACCTATTCGTTATAGATTTCATCGTCCGCCATGCAGACTTATAAATGTTTTATCATCATTGTCATCATATATCTTAGGAATATTGTCTTCTGTTCTCGAATGTGCAGCTTTCATCGAAACGATTAATTTCCCTTGAGCACATTGATTTTGATTGAAAAATTACAATCAATAATACAATTGTCCATTAGCATATGTCAAGCAATCTCAGTTTAAATCCAAGTGCCGGTAACTTGGATTTAAACTTGATTTTAACTTAAACGAAACGATTTAAATTTGGTTGCTTGAGTATTACGAATTTGAAGAATAGCTTAAGGAAACTGAGCTACCATAGAAATTACTCTAAATAAAATAGTATTTTAGTATATATAGTAATTAGAACTTAGAACAAACGATCGTATTTATATGTCCTTTTTTATGTTTTCAAAAGTAAAACTTCTATACAACGACACTGAAAAAACCAATGGCCGATTCAACAGAAAGAAGTTCCAACGGAAAAGAAAAGTAAAAGCCACAGAGAAGCGTGGCTGGGTTCAGCTAGTTTAATGATACATAACCTAAAAATATGTGAGATGACTTGTAATCTCATGGTCTACTTTTCAAAACCTATATGTTGCACCATTTAGTTTTGAAACAGCACGTTGTCGTTTAAGTCTCTTAATAAATTGCAGGTGTAACAAACATTTCAATTTTGGAAACTAAATATATCTTACGCCGACGAATACAAATAGCATTCCAACGTCAATTTCGTCCATTGCCATTCTAAATTCCAAACGTTTACAGCCTCGATTTGTCTGGATGCGTAAGGATCCGAAATTGCTAATGGCCTCATCAGAAGGAGATCAAATTTGACGTTGTTCGGAGGGCGCCCGGATTGTTTCATTACGGACAACTAGCAACGGCATCCGGTTTTGTCTGTAGCAATACTGATTTACAATTACCTGGAATATATGGAATTTAGTTTAAATAGGAAGAATAAAATTAAGTTTAAATACTGGACGTATGAGAGTAATTATAATATTCTCTATTGATTGAGCTCCGTCATCTGATTCTTTTTTCGAGCTTACCGATTTGTCCATCAGAAGCTGTTATTGTTCTACCATAAACGAACCTCTGTTTACGTTCTTCTGTTTTACGTTTCTTAAATTACGCTACCTAAAACGTATACCATTTTCGAGGCGGCAAAATGATAACTAAACGAAATACATTACAGTATTGTATAATTTTGATGAGAGAGAAATTAATATTTATTAGAGATGATCATGCATAAAAGTTACCCAATAATCGTATTGTGGTAAATAATTTTAATCAAGGATAATGATGTGTAGTTGTAGACAGACACACAGACATACTCTTTCGTTTATTTTATTCACATTCCACGTTAATTGTTCTTTAGAGCGTTTTGCATAAATTTGTTGTGTACTCAATTATCAGGTTTTTGCTTTGTCATAGTTATAAATTGGACATCATTTTAATGAATTATTTGATCTTTCACTTGACACTGATGATATTACCGTCGAAGGTTTTATATTTTTAATCTACTTTCCAATGATAATGCAGTCTATTAAAGACTCCTGGGAAATTGAATATTCATTTGTAAAAGTAGTGTCCGGGCGTTTAAGAGAGTATTGGATAAGAGAGTTATGGTAGCTCAAAGTCCGCGCGATCGCTTTTAGTTCGATTATACTTTAACGGAAATATTAATGATATAGAAAATAAGTAATGGGAACTTGCATTGCGCGTTAATTTGATAATGCGCGTCAGTAGACGACATTGTAATGTATTCTTCATTTATAGATAATTAAACAATTCCACAATGCGGCTATATGATGAACTATAACGTAATAATCCTGCGTATAGGAGGGGCTTTTCCTACTGCTGTGCTATTATAATAAAGTTTCAGTACATATCTGTCAAATGATAACATTATAAAATCTTTGAAATGCAAAGACTATTTAAACTTTAACTTTATAATGCTTTTATATTAACAAGTATATCCCCGTGTTGGGTAGTCTATTATTCTATCACTACGAATGACACGAATGAATAGAAAATAAGAATCATTGCAGAATGGGGGCCTTTTTGTATGAAAAGCTGACAAGCTATTAGGAGACTGTTCACCTGATATTAAGTGATTACTTCCACCCATATTAATTTAATTTTTATTGCATACATATTTAACACCTGAGCGGTTGCAGCTGCTTTGTCATTCTTTAAAAACAGTGGGCTCTAACTACCCCAGTCAATAGCTTAAACGTAGAACTTACTAAAACCACAACGTCTACTTTCTAAACGGCTCGGGACGAAACTCACAGGACGAGCCTGCCAATTCGCGCAACAGAAGTTTTTTTCCATTGGCTCCAGCCAAGGACCAAAGAAGAAAGTAAACGTAAAAATAAATATTAAGATAAATTAACCACAGAGAAATTAATCATAGAGAAATTGACTATGGACAAAATAATCATAGAGAAATTAACCATAGATAAATGAATCATAGAGTAATTAACAATGGAGAAATTTACCACAAACCTCATACGTGCGATACCCGTCCAGGTCGAAGCCGGTGACGGATTTCTTCACGATGTCTGTATACGGCGCGCTGTTGTATGCGTAATCTTCGATGACGTTTCTCCCGGAGGAAAGCGTGGACTTGCCCGTATCAGGGGCCAGCGTGCCCAACACCATTGGCACGTACTTAGTGAGCGGGGCGAAGTAAGTTGGCAGTTTCCCAGACTGATGGGCAACGGGTTCGTATAAAGGTTTCGAGGTTGCTATTTCGGGTGTGTCCACCGGCGGCACGTCGTTGGGGAACAGCACCGGACCCTTTCTAGAAGAGGAGAGTTAATTCATAGGGTGTTAAAATTTTTACATAAAGTTTTTTTAGCCCGATTTTTTATGTTACAAAGTGTCAAACGAGCTGGCGGTTCACCTGATGTTAAGTGATAACCGCCGCCCATGGGCATCTGCAACAGTCGTACGTTTGCATATGCGTTGCCACCTTTTAATAAAGTGGGCCCCGGCTACCTCACTCACCAGACGAAACGCAGAAGTATAACACTTCTACTTTACGCCTGTCTTACAGTTGCGTGGTCCTACCACATAAAGACTTCAGACTAGTCTTCTGTGAGGCCGTGGTAATTCACCGGTAGAGCCTGCGTACGTGTAACATGACAAGCTGATGATGAAATCTCCCTACCACAGTAGAAACTTCTAATTTGCAAGACTGAGTAGAACCATTACTAGATTGCGTACATTTTATATAATTGTAGTAGTTGATCTCTTTGTTTGTTGTTGTTGTTGTTATTCGTAAATAACGTTTATATATATTTTATTATAGCCTATGTTTTATTCTGATGTATAAGCTATATTATTGTAATGTTTCATTAAAATCCATTCAGTAGTATTTGCGTGAAAGAGTAACAAACATCCATCCATACATACAAACTTTCGCGTTTATAATATTAGTAAGGAAGTAAATATAAAAAAAAAACTATTTTAAGGATTTTGTACAGTTTGATTTTGTTTTTAAAATATTTTGCGAAATTCTTTCGCGGTAATAAGGGGCCAGTATTTCATTGACCGTGTATTAAAACTACAAGTTATTAGAACCATAAAATAGTTTGAGCAATTTTAATATCAGTACAATAAAGAGATAATTATGCCCTAACCTTGTTGGCACTGGGCCCATTAAACTCTTCAGTTTTGCTTCGTAGGTGTGATGGTTGAAATTCCTTGGCTGGAGCTGGCTTGACGGCGTAGCGACTTCTTCACTTCTTGCCATTTCTAGAAGGAGGATGAACGTAACGATGCTCGCGATCTCCATGTTAAGCTGAAATAAATTGCACTTTTCAAAGACGCACCATGAAAGCGATCGAACTGATTTGCTATTTTAATACAGTTATTAATAATCCCTTTTGGAAACACGACAATTATCACATATTCATTCGCTTCATATTTAAGATTTATTAAAACACGCTTATATTTCGATTGTATTAGGATTCGACCATGGAAAAAGCTGGGTGAATATTATAATAAACATAATGTACCGAGATCGTGCTCGAACTAAACGCATATTTTTTTTATTTCGATGTTCAGTGCTTAATTAGCAGTGACAAAACGCAGTCGCATTCCGGCTGTAAAGCGCACCGTACTAAGCACATTCCCCCACCGACAACGTCGGGTGCTGGAGTATCGAAGCCTGTAACCGTTGCGTCCACGCATCCTAGCGCTGTGGTGAAGAACTCTCAACCTATTCGCGTGTGACCAGAACTCTGATCAGTGGATCGAAGGTGTTAGCTCATCGACGGCTGGTAGCAGTGTAAGGTACGTGCGTGCTTTATATCTGTCACTGCCTATTTCAAGGATTGAACATCGATCAACGCAAATCGTCTGACACTCCGTGTCTGTCCCAGTGTAGTATTACAGCCACCCCATTTCGGCTAGGTGCGTATGCGTGTACCATACTTTTTTTGTAAATAAATAGTACAAGACCGAGGCACTAAAAAACACTGCGTTCATCACATCATTTTACAGTGGTGAGGATCAAACCCATATCCTCAGGTGCAAGAGACAGGTTCACTATCCACTACGCCGATCGGATAGTCTAAAAGATATCTAGATCTCATCTCATGTTGTATTGTTATTTTAAATGATCGTAAATCCAACAGTTGGAGCAATATACTGGTCTGGCTAAAGGTGATAGCACATTGGAGTAAAAATATCGAAAATCTGTACATTAATACATAAATTAATGTAGAGATAGTATGTAATGAAGTAATAGAATGTAATGAAGTAACAGCCTAAACATGTCCCACTGCTGGGCAAAGGCCTCCTCTATACAGAGGGTATCAGGGCATAGTCCACCATGCGGCCCCACTGCGGATTGGCGGACTTCACATATCTTCGAAATATATTTTTTTTGTAATTATTTCGAACATATGCAGGTTTCCTCACGATGTTTTCCTTCACCGCGGAGCACGTGATAAGTCAGCACCTAAAATTAAAAACTTCATTGGTACCGGGGATCGAACTCAAGTTGCTCGAGTATATTGAATTAAAGGCGAACGCCCGGACATTGAGCTATCACGGCTCTTTAATGATACATCACATTAATACATGATATGATATAATCCTATAAAGAGTTACTCTTTACCATATATTTCTTTTATATACACGTACCTAGTACAAACATAAACGAACTTAAGTAAAGCTTGTGATAAATGACTGCGTAGTAACATTGAAACCCTCAAACACCATTAAGTTTACGATAACACTTTGAAAAGAGTACTGCAAGTCAAAATTATATCTATTTTATTTTTTATTTTTATTGTTAGTCTATTTAGGATTTTTCTTCATATCAAGTGCCAGTCTGAATTTGCACTCAAGTAGAACCTATGTCTTTTAGGCGCGTCACCAGAAGACGCAGATTAGAATGCAGCAGTGCCGAAAGTTATGAACAAAACTGAACTGCTGCATTCTAACCTGCGTCTTATCTATAAAAATTTACATTTCAATTTACGCTTTCGTTGAACAGAAACATATTACATAGTGTAGATGCTATTCTATTCTTTATGTTAATTTAATTGTCATATAAATTGATGTCCCCGTGTGGGCTTCGGATACGAGATCCGTGATCAAAAATCCACATCTGCACCAACCGAGACATTCACCAAACGTCAAGATAATAAATGATGCCGCCAACCATTAGATATTATTTTGGCCAAAATCCTGACCAGATGTTTATTTCCTCAGCGGGGGAACGACTTAAGTTTTTCCGGATTTGTCGAAAAACAATCCATCAATCAATTCGCAACATCAATCAGGTTTTGGGGAGATGTGGCAACTCTCGAGGGCCCTCAGTCTTGTACTTAGGAGAGTGCACCAAGAAAGATGTCACGGTGAAAGTCTGTTAATGACATGTTGTTATGAACTCAATGTATCAAAGTTTTTATCAGATTGTATTTAAAGTTTAGACAGGACTTGGTTCTGTTCGTACTACCACTTGGTGTACCGATGAGTTCTTTTTTTTTACCTATTCTTTAGCTTTAACATCTTGTCCTTCGTTTCCTCACGATGTTTTCCTTTACCGTTGACCACGAGATAATTATTATGTCTTAGGTAAAACAAATATATTTTTCGGACAGCTTTCACTTTAGTGAGTGATCACCTTTATGGTGAAATATGATTATGCACCTCTCGAGACATCTAACACGATACAATTTCAATGTAATATTTCCCGCTCCGTTTGAACCGTCTCCGCTTTTGCACGGGTTCCCTCTGTCAAGTGTACGTCGGGAAGGGATTAATAAAATGTTTCATAGTAGCTGCTGCCCGCGACTACGTCTGCGTAGAATAGGCTGAAGGCGTAACATTCACATAAAAAGACATAAAATATATATATAAATTATAGCCTATGTCTCATTCTGACGTATAAGCTATATTATCGTAAAGTTTCATTTAAATCCATTCAGTAGTATTTGCGTGAAAGAGTAACAAACATCCATCCATACATACAAACTTTCGCGTTTATAATATTAGTAAGGATTTAAATGTGCGATGATCCTTAAATGGTTTTTCGTCTACAATGATGCTTTACAGTGACGCTATACCATTCTCAATCTTGTAATAGCTTTTCTAATTAAGTTTGTCCTGCGCCTAATGTTTACAGTAAGCAAGTAGTACGTCGTGGGAATTAAAGTCGGTTTGAGTCCAACATCGTCCACCTGCCTCTGCGAGGGTATGCGTAAGTATATCCCCGATATCAACAAAAAAAAACCCGGCCAAATGCGAGTCGGACTCGCACATGAAGGGTTCCGTACCATTATCTATAAAAATGACCTAAATTCTCAAAAGTATAATTAATGTCATGTGAAAACAAACTAAAATCATGTCTGTTGTATGCGAGCCTCGCTTAAATATTTTTTTATTCTGTTCATTAGTATTTGTAGTGGCAACAGAAATACATTATCATATTTCCTCACGATTTTTTTCTTCACCGCTGAGCAAGTGATAATAGATATATTTATACACGCGAAGATAATTTTGGGAAAAACTATAAACATCGATAAATTACTTAACGACGACTATTGAAAGTGTAATGAAATCCAAGAAAGATTTCCAATTTTCTTTAGAGCAATTTTATTAAAACTGTTTAGGTACTGCCGTTTTATTAAATCGGTTTTAGAGTCGTTTAAATTGCTTTCTAGAAAAAACCTTTCATGATCAGTGCTAGCATATTAAATTCTCTGCGTTCGTCCATAAAATTAATAAAATGTAGATTATTTGTCATTAGATTACATTACATAAGTACGCAATAAAATAAGAAAACGCGACCACATATTCACCAAAAACTTCAGCCAAGTGAACCTTAGACTTAATGTCTTATACAGATGTATATCCCGTTAGTTGTTTGATCTTCAAATACTTATTTTATTTATGTCAAAAAATTGGCTTTCAGAGATTATTTGAACGACAACGGATATACAGAATAACGCATATTAATAACGCGTGTACCGAAAGGTTGTATCTATGAACTTAGGTTATTATTTTCGTTGTGATAGTGATATTGATAGAAAAAAAAATAGTATACCTAACTATTTAAAATAATATGCTTCAATAATAAACAATAATATAAGTAGGTATTTCAACGTCTTAAAGAGTCATCCACATACCAGTACATATTATGTCTTATCTATGATGTCATCAATGATGTGTGACATGTGAACATAGACCAAACAAAAATATCACACTTTTTATTTGCAATCCTTCCGCTTGGATCATAAAAACTAATGTTTTTTTGATATACTAAAAATCTAGGTGAATATTATGTTTTATGTTACGTGTATGTACGTGTTTCTTAAAAGGGAAAAATTGTATTACTTAGAAAATTTTACTCCATATTTCAGTTTTACCATGTATCGAAATAAGATGAATAAATTTATACGATGTCACAATGTCCATATATTGATAATAAATTAAGAGCCCAAAAATGAAACAAAACAAACAGCGTGATTCCAATTACTGTCCAATAAAGAGAAAAAAAAACGAAACGTTTAAAAAAGAAGCACGGATACATACAGCACACGCAATATTTGTTATCTTGATTGCATCATTGTCTTCTGTGTGAACGCGGCTGTCACAGATAGTAGCGGCCATGTTGTCGTTGCCATAGCGACGCTATTGTTTTGCCGCGCTCGCGTGTGAATACGGCGGATTTGCATTTTACTAGTTTAGGGTGGTGTCCTTTAATATCGAAGGCTGATTTTTAAATTTTCAGTTAAAGTTCTGTTTGATCGTAATGTTAACGCAATGCATTTTAAGGCCAAAAAAGAATAGACTTGCTTACTGTAAGAAGAAAAGTTGTTAAACCTCGATTTATTGCATTTATAATATTGTGTTGTGAAAACGAACATAAATAAAGTCTACAACATTTAATCAATTTTGTCTTGTATTTCAGTTTCTTATGTTCATTAAAAATTACCACCTCTAAAATCAGGTTTTACTTGTGTGAGAAGGTAAGGCAAGCAAATTTGAGGTTTACCAGACGTTAAGTGATAACCGTAATGTGGCAGATGCGTTGGCACCTTTTAATAAAGTGGTTACGGTACTTCCCAGGACGAAGTTGCCCATTCATTTAACAGCAAAGACCGCTACGTGGCTTTTCCACAGTTACAAGTGCGTTTATAAATCAATATGACTACATGATTTGAAAAGTTTAGCTGAAGTTTTTAAACCAAACCTACTGTTTTATGTATGTAGGTATGTTAACATTGGGAATACGTCGATATTAAAATTTTTATAGTGCTAATATAATTATGTAGATAG